AAAAGGCCATCTTGGCTCCACAATATTCACGACTAGTGAATCTAGCATAATTTCCGTGATAAAAATGTGCCCACAAAATGGAAAAAGTGGTCATAAACGCAATACCAAGGGCAAACTTGACGCCTCGTGAAAGAATGAAGGCCAAGGATAAGCATTGTTTGTTCACACATTTCCGTCAGTAGTGTCCACCCATGCAAGAGGAGCGAAATTCGAAGGACGGCTTCAGAGATAAGCAAAATTAGAGCAAAGGAGTGCAAAGTGAGTTAACCAATTGGGTTCGGCTTGGCGGCCATAGCTTCAGAAAGACATAGGGATTCTTGAAAGTCTCCCACGACGTGCTACTAAGGCCGTCCCTGAACTTAAAAAGTTGACATGCAAATAGCGCTTGACTGCCTTAAACATCTTTTGCCTCCATTTTAGACAATATGGAAGTGACCTTATAGCAACGCTTCAGTTAATAATAGGAAATGATCTGGATGTCAAGTGGAAGGCTTTCTTTCAAACGGCCCCAAGAAGGAACCTCAGAAGGTATGATTGCCAGTCGAAGAAGAAGCTGAGACGCAGAAACCAACGTTTGTTCTTCTTTCAAACAGTCGTTCCACAGTAGAATTCTTTGCCAGCGTCTGTTGTGCATTCCTACGCTCTGAGCGTGTTCAAGAGACGTCTAGATAATCACGTCTTAAAGGCCAACCCAAGAATGCAAATCCCTTTCCATTAGAAACAGATGACCACAAACATTCTACTTACTTGATTTCAACAGACCTTACATTTAAGTTAAAGTTGGCTTCGGTGAGCATTTCATAGTGGAAATGCAGTGAGCGTGTTCTACGCTGCTACTTCGCAAACGCCTCACCTTTTCAACTATTTATTATTTTTAAATATTTAAATGCATTTTTGCATAACAAAGCGACTTGAAACAATTTTTGCATATGCACTATATTTTATACACTCCTGTACCGATTCAATGAAGTTTTTAAGGGCTTCTGTCATTTAATCCGAACATATTGACTGATAAGTTCATTTGAAGGGCGGAACCCTGCTCGCCACGGGGGCACTTTGTTGATCATGGCTGGATATTTTCTGGCAACTCCTTTATTCGGATAAGGAAGAACTAACTGGCCTGTTCTAATCACTAATTCTAGAGACTAACTAACGGTGTTTTATGAGCTTTCCTTTGTTGGAAAATACATGTGAGCAATGCCTCTATAGTGCACTAATACACAGAACGGAAAGCGTGCACTGAAAAGAAGAGCACTCACAGTCCAAGGCCCGAGGTGAATTGGCGCGCAAATCCAAACCAGAAACCCACTATAAGAGCTGGGAAAAGGTAGGCGCAGATGGAGGCGGGAATGTAGAAGGCACGAAGCGAGATTAGGTCACTGAATCTGGAGTAGGGTGCCACTCTACAAATTAGAGGTGCAGGTTCAGAAACAGAAGTCTTGTTGCCATGGAAACAAGTGGATGGGGGCGAATGAAGTTAAAAAAATACATTTCGAGTAATAAAAGGCCATGTGGCTAACGAACGGTTCAAACAAACAAGTTGGGAAAGTAGAAGCTACGTATGCTTCAAGGCCTCCTTTAAAGGTTCAATATGGAAGCACATGGTGGACTGACCGACAGTTGGACCGTCACCTTCAAAGATGTCCATTACGAGCTTCAGCAAGCTGCAGGCAGACGCGGTGGCTACAGCTGAATTATAGTGAAAGCAGACTGGCCCCACTCTACCACGCCTGAACCCGATGTCAAGATAAAAGTTAAGAAGCCCGGAGATGGACGAAGGCGCAGGCGGTGTACGCGAAACACACCCCAACACGCACCACAACATCACC